ATCTACAGGAAATTAAAACAATCCATTAGTCAATGAGTGAGCCAGAGGAAAGGATTATACAAAATAAAGTTAAAAAGACAGCAGGACTAGATTTTCTTCCATTTGTTCAAGTAAAGGGCATAGCATGATTCTACTTCGAATGTCTCTCTATCTTTGAAAGTATCTGTATATACACAGTGCTTCCACAATATGTCATATGCCTCTTTATATCCACAATATAGAGATGAGATACAGATCTCAAAGAAACAATTTCGATATATTGCCTGGTGCAGCAATAACTGCATTCTACCATTAGAAGTTACCAGTTAATGCGTCGCAGGTGGTTGGGTCTCTCTGATTGTACAGAGGACAGTAGGGACCAAAAGGATTTGTCCAAAAGGAGGTGCTTCCGGTGGCTCTGGAGTGTGTCTAAACTACTGCAGTTAGAGTAGATATTATAGGAGTTATGTCCCACTTAGCAGTTATGTGCTTTGGTGATTGGAGTACTAAATGTGGTTTGATCTGATTGGTATGTCGTCTAACTGTGGTGATGTACAGCTGATATACGGTGTGTGGAGAGCATTGTTTTACCTCCACAACGGACGAAATACAAGGAATCCTTTTAAGTGTAAATATGTCTCGCAGCATTGGTACTGCCACCTCTATATACAATATGCGGGCAATAACCACTTTTACGCATTAAACCACGCAGTCTGCTACTAACTACAGAAAGGTCTGTGGAGTCTATACCTTATATCACCATAATTATATTTATCTATTTTTGTGCGTATTGTTCTGGGTATACTGAATATAACTTAAAGACAACATAATTCACATCTGATTATCCTAAGGAAAACCAATTCATTTCTAAACAAAGGCTATGGGATATGTCGCATGCGAATGAATGTAAAATTAATTACATTTTTTATTCATGTATAATCAAAATGTAATAAAAACCTTTACTTTGTTATGGGAATGTATTTGATAATCTGTTACATTAATCTGTCAAATATTTTCAAATCTAAAACAAGCGAAAATAAATGACCTACAGCACCCTCCCCACCACATGAGAATTATGAGTTGGATTAACCAAATTCAAAATAAACAAGTAAAGATGCCTGGTTGATTAGAAGAGACTGGGACTTTCCTGTCCAGCGTAGTTACTTTGCCAAACTTTAAAATTACCTAGATGACACTTACTTAAAAGTTTGGTTGACTGAAACTTATTTCATCCAAGAGAAAATTAGTATAGTATTTGAAGCATGGAAAAGTGCGGATTTCGACTCCTGTAGAAAAAGGCCTGAATGAGAAGGAATAGCTTCATAGCGCAATGTATTTGACCGGTTTCGATTATAACTTCATCAGAAACAGATATCGGAACGTGAAACCGATGTCCATTTGGAGATCACTAAAAAGAAAAAAGAAAGAAAAAGAAAAAACAAACACTTTCAACCCAAAGAGAAGCGATCCACCTAGAGAGACATGGTTAATGATGATAACTGGGTTAAGAATGGAAGAAATTATGAAAAGAGAACCAGAGACGGATAAGCGAAAACCTGAAGAAAGGATGAGAAAAATAACATTTTTTGGAGAAGTTCGGATGTAAGATACGACATAATTCAAGGAAATGAAAAAGATAGAAAATGAAAAGTTCTCTGCAACATGATTTAGATGGAAAACCAAGAACTCTAATAAATGTTCGAATGTTCGTAGATAATGTACATAATGGTACACACAATGGTATAAACAATGGATAGCGATGTTACTCATGTTGGAAATAAGGACGAAGAAAGTATTGTGATAATGGAAGTGATAATGATGATGATAATAATGATGATACATTATTGTTTCTTATTTTATATAACAGCAGAATTCTCAGAAGAACAAATACAAAATTACAGCAGCATTAAGAACAGCAATAGATAATAATGGAAGTAATGATACTTATTATTATAATAATGATACTATTATTATAATTATGAATATAATTATAACTATAGTTACTATTTTTATTGTTATTATTATTATTGTTACCGAAAATAATGATAATGATGATGATGATGATGATAATAATAATAATAATAATAATAATAATAATAATAATAATAATAATAATAATAATAATAATAATAATTGCTATCATTATCATCATCATCATCATCATCATCATCATCATATCACCATAGGAAAGAAAATAGCAATAACAATTGTATTGACGATATCACAGAGAAAAGAGAGCAGCGGCAAAGCTGAAAGTCGGAGGGGAAACTGATATAGATAGAGAAATGGGGAGAAGGGAAAAATAATAGGAAGAAATAGAAAGGAGTAAAGCAAAGTTGAGAATAAAAAGAAATAGAGTGGAAGGATTGAATAATTTGTCAATCTTTCGACAAGCAAAAAGGAAAATAGATTTATATGAAAAAGTGAAAAGGAAAAAGGGGATTTTAAAAAGACGAAACGAGGAGAAATTAATATACAAGAAATATAGAAATAGATAGAGAGCTATTAAATAAGAAGGCAGAGGATTAGGAAGTATGATAACAAAAAGACACGAATGATCTCTTAAACACAGATGGGAAGTCAAGTCGATAACTAGAGAAAATGGAAAAGCACTGAAGAAAACGGGAGGAAAAGATAAGCTATGCTGAAACGTAAGAAAATGGGAAATATATATTTCGGTGATGACAATGAAAATGACGAAGACAGTAACAGTAATGATAACGATTACAATGAAAAACGACAACAGTAGTGATGCTTGGTAATAAACAAATGATGGATATGATGAATGTTTAAACTATATAATATATATATTATGTGTATATATATATATCCTATATGTGTGTGTGTGTGTGTGTGTTTTTTTATATTTTACACACACACACACACACACA